CTACGGGACAACGGGACCTCCGCGCCAGAATGGCGCCTCGGCGTCGCTGCGCCTGGCGAACGCCACGCCGACCAAAGCGTGCACCAGCGCCTGCTGCAGCGAAACATGCGCGAGGCAGAGGCGCAGGAAGCCGAGAGCCGGGAGCGGCTCTCGGCTTCCTGCGTCGCTCGTAGTTCTCGATCTGAATTTCGTCGCAGGAGATGAGCCCATGCTTCTTGACTTGAGCGCAGGTCTGATGAGCAGAGTCAGGTCGCGTACTTGGCACAGCTGGCGCACCTGGCGAACCTGGCGCACCCGGCGCCCCTGGCTCACCCGGCGCACACGGCGCACTCGGCACGTCCGGCAACACATGGCGCACCCGGCGCACCCTGCGCACCTGGCGCACCTGGCGCATCCGGCGCATCCGGAGCACTGGGCGCACCCTGCGCACCGGGCGCACCTGGCCCACCCCGCGTATCCGGCACAACTGGCGCACCCAGCGCACCCAGCACACCTGGCACCCGGCGCACCCGGCATCCCGCACACAAGCCTGTTATGGCCTTAGGTAGCCCCACGACGGTCAAAGATGGCTTGGAAACGGCCCACGAGGCTTCCAAGAAGGCCCACATGTTTTCACAAACGACCGCCCGAGGAAGGCCCGAAAATCAAAAATCGTCACATTTCCATAAGAAAGCGTACATTGTTGGTCTACTCGCCTTCTTCGTCTTGACACCGTGCAAGACGGCCCAAAAGACCCCCATGATCATCCCCAGACGGCCCATGAGGCCCCCGAGAAGGCCCCAAGACGGCCCAAGAGAGCCCTAAGACGGCCCACGAGCCGCCCAAGATCGCCCACGAGGCACCGTAGAGACCCCAAGAGGGGCCCAACACTGCGAATACGAACTGATACCCGAGCCTTTCTCCCCAAGATGGCCCCAAAAGCGAGCAGGAGCAGCAGGAATTGCTGAGGAGAGGAGGCGCGAAGAGAGGGGTACAAAGCCTCTAGCGTCGGCCGCCTGGAGGACCACCTCGGCCGACTGCTCGACGAAGGACATGCGGTGGCAGCCGTGCATGTCCCCGTCGGGAAGCGCAAAGGAGGTGAAGTCCCTCGCGCTCCGCCGAACAGTAATGCAGAGCTGATTCCTGCGCAAATGCCGCACGGAGTACGAGCCCTTCACGGCGCCTCCAGGCAGTGCGTAGCTGTGAGGCCCCGAGAAGCACACCGTGCCCAGGTGCGCCATCGTCACCTGGGCGACGAACACTAAACTACGGCCGACCCACGACCCGAGAAAAAGATGCGGAGCTGCCCTGACTTGGGCAATGGGTAGTGGCAGCGCTGAGCATATATCACATACCTATACGACCACCCTTCGGGTGATAAGGAGGTTGTGGGGGGGAGAGGGGGGGGGACCAACATCTGATTCAATCGATCTCACTATCGATGTCACTCAACGGGACAACACGGGACACCACGGTACACTTGTCGATCTCACTATAGATCTCACTATCGATCTCACTCAACAGGACACCACGGGACACCACGTGCCACCACGGGGCACCACGGGACACCGCGGGACACCTCTCGATCTCACTATCGGTCTCACTATCGATCTCACTATCGATCTCACTCAACGGGACACCATAGGAAACCACGGGACACCTCGGGACACCACATCGATCTCACTATCGATCTCACTATCGATCTCACTCAACGGGACACCACGGGACACCACGTGCAACCACGGGGCACCACGGGGGACACCGCGGGACACCTCTCGATCTCACTATCGGTCTCACTATCGATCTCACTATCGATCTCACTATCGATCTCACTCAACGGGACACCACCTCGGGACACCACATCGATCTCAATATCGATCTCACTATCGATCTCACCATCGATCTCACTATCGATCTCACTCAATGGGACACCAGCGGAACACCGGCGGGACACCGCGGGACACCAGCCGCCGGAGGAGAAACATTTGGTCCGGCCGCGGCCCAGCCACAGGAGGATTTCGGGACACCAGCGGACACCGGCGGGACACCGCGGGCCACCGGCCGCTGGAGGAGAAACATTTGGTCCAGCCGCGGCCCAGCCACAGGAGGATTTCCTCTCGCCCGCCCACGCAGCTTCGCCTCGCCCGCACGCACGCACGGCACGCACGACACGAACCCGAAACCGAAATCGATTTCCCGGTAGGGGGGGTCTCCGTTTCACGTCGGACTCACCCCCCAACCTCCGACCCATTGTGATGATCTAGTGCCAAGCTCTGTCATGTGCTGTGCCGCGCTATGCTGTACCATGCTGTGCCATGCTGTGCAGAAGTGTGCTATTTCGTACTGTGTTGAACTGTGTTGTGCGCTACTGCGTTGTGAATCCAGTCCTTGGCGTCCGAATCTGAACCGAGCTGATCTGTCTCTTCGGCACGTTCTACATGAACGAATGGCTCGCAAAGAGCTGATTGTAGTCGACGTGCGGGGTGCTCGACCATCTCGAGCTCAACATCCGATTACATTCCTAATCGGGGCGAACCGAAAGAGGGAGCGAATCCAAGCCAAAATTGAACGCACCGAGCAGGGACGGGCGGAAACGCGGCGAACCGAGGCGGACGATCTGAGCGAGCGCAACTCTAAACGGTACGATACAAGACGGAACTGAGACGGAACGATCCGAAACATAACGAATCGAAATGTCAAGACGCAGTGGCAATGCTGAAAAGATCCCCCTGTTGTTTCCTGCAAGAAGGAACTCTGGGCCCGAGGCCCCCCACTCGAGACATCATCAGAATCCTGCTCACAGGCAAGCGGAATACATATAAAAACATTGTGTTAACGCATAGCGAGAAAAAAATAAGCATGCAAAAACACATGATTCTGGAGGAAAAAAAAAAGCAAACCCCATCTTTTGGGGGCTATAGGGCTACGGGGCTATAGGGTTACAGGGCCATAGGTCTACAGGACTGTAGGGCTACAGGGCTACAGGGCTACAGGGCCATAGGGCAATAGGGGTGTAGGGCTATAGGGCTATAGGGCTATGGGGCGATCGGGCGATCGGGCTACAGGGCTATAGGGCTATAGGGCTATAGGGCTATAGGGCTACAGTGCTATAAGGCTATAGGCCTATAAGGCTATAGGGCTATAGGGCTATTGGGCGAGGGCGCGCCGCTGGATGTCCCCAAGGGGAGGAGTGGGTTGGGGACCCCCCCCCCTTTCCCCGATCCGTCGTCGGGACCCCCCCCCCTCCCCCTCTTTCCCGATCCGTCGTCGGGGACCCCCCACCTCCCCCCCTTTCCCGATCCGTCGTCGGGGACACACCCCCCACTCCCCCCTTTCCCGGTCCGTCGTCGGAGAACCCCCCCCCTCCCCCCTTTCAAAAGGGGGAGGAGGGGGTTCCGAACCCCCCCCCCTCCCCCCCTTTGGCCGCCAAATTCGAACCCCCCCCCTCCCCTTTCGCCACGGCGCCCCCGGTCTCCGGAACCCGACCCCGACCACCCCGAACACGAATCCTCACCCTTACCCTAACCCCCAACCTTAACCCCAAACCCAAACCCAAGCCCCATACAGCACTCAATACTCATTACGCACTACTCACTACCCACAATTCACTACTCGCTACTCACTATTCACTTCTCACTACTCAGCACTCACTACTCACGACTCACTAGTCACTACTCACGATTCACTACTCGCTACCCACTACTCACTACTCCCTACTCCCTACACGCTACTCACTACTCACTACAAACTACTTACTCACTATTCACTACCCACTACTCAATACTCACTACTCACTAAACACAACTCACAAGCCACTACTCATTAATCACAAATCACTACACAATACCCACTAACCACTATCCACTACTCACTACTCACACTTCACTACTCACTACTCAGTGCCCACAACTCACGACTCAGTCCACTGCTCGCTACACGATACTCGCTACTCCCTACTCCCTACTCCCTACACAGTACTCACTACTCACTTCTCGCTACCCCCAACGCCCTACTCGCTACCCAATACGCACTACTCACTACCCACTACTCACTACTCACTACGCTCCCACTGCTCACTACTCACTACTTCCTACTGCCTACTCACTACTCTCAACGCACTTACTACTCACTACCCAGTACTCAATACTCACTACTCACTAGACGCTACTCACTGCTCACCAAGCACTACTCACGGCGCGAAACATGGCACGCAAATGCGATGGTTTGCGACTACCGTGCCCGCTCTGGCAAGGCCTGCATGGAAGGGTGAGGGGGACACGAAAACTTGTAAATTGCACGGTTTGCGAGTACCCTGCCCGCTCTGGCGAGGTTTCCCTGGAGGAGTAGGAGGATCACGAAGCCTTGTAAATAATAGGGTTTGCGAATATCCTGCCCGCTCTGGTGGGGACTCCCTGGGGAGGTGAGAAGGGCACGAAACCTTGTAGATTGCCTGGTTTGCGAATACCCTGGCCACTCTGGCAGGGCCTGCCTGCAGGGCTGGGCAGGGCACGAAACCTTATGAATAATACAGTTTGCGAATGCCATGCCCGCTTTGGCGGGGGTCTCCCTGGAGGGGTGGGAGGGGCACGAGACCTAGTAAACAAAATGGTTTGCGAATACCCTGCCCGCTCTGGCGGGGCCTCCTCAAACTCAGCATCTAACGCCCCGGATGGGCCCCTCCCCAGCAGCAAGTTGTTGACCTGCAGCCGAACGCTCTTACACTGTCTCAACGGGAGGGGAAAGCCCCCTCACTCTTGTCCACAACGAGGAAACAATTGTTCCTGCCACGCTGTGCGAGCGCTCCATTGGGTGATTTCGCCCAGCAACGCTCAGGGGGTCGACTCCCCCCCTCGAGCGACAAAAGCATGGAAATAACAGCGTTGCTCTCACGCAGCATCAAATTCCTCGCGCACTCACTCGCTGCCTGTCTGGAGCCTCACCAGGCAGCGTGCTGCGACGGAAGGGGCACGAGACCTTACAAAAAAAGGGGACTGCGAATACCCTGCCCGCACTGGCGGGGCCTCCCTGGAGGGGTGGGCAGGGGCACGAAAACGTTTAAAAGCACCTTTTCTTATTCATATTTACGTATAATACCTATAATATATATATATTATATATATATATATATATATATTATATATAATACATACATACATACCTATACCTATACCTATACCTATACCTATACCTATACAAATATACCTATACATACACATATACATATGCATGCGCATATACATATATATGTACATATATATATACGTATATGTGTGTATGTATGTGTATATATATACATATATATACATATATATAAACATATATATATATACCTAGACATATACATTTACATATACACATACATATACATATACATATACATATACATACACACATATACAGATACATATACATATACATATACAGAGTATACATGTACATATGCATATACCTATACATATACATACACATTTACACATATATATACAATGACAAATACATACAAATACGTATACCAATACCTATACAAATACATATGCAAATACATTTACATATACATATACATGTACACATACATGTATATATATATACATATACTTATACATATACATATGCATATGCAAATACATAGACCTAAGTATTTACGTATACATATACATATGCATACGCATATGCAAATACGTATGCATATACACATACATATACATGTCCATATCCATATACATATACATATACATATACATATACCTATACATATACATATACACACACATATATACACCTATAAATCTACATATGCATATACATATACATAGACATAGACATAGACATAGACATATACATAGACATATACATCTACAAAGTCATATACGTATACATATACTTAATCCTATACCTCAACCTATACATGTACCTATACATATACATATATATATATACATATACATATACATCTACACATACATATACATTTACATATACATATACATATACATATACATATTCATGTACATATACATATACATGTACATATACATCGACATAGAATGGTACATCTATATAAACATATATATATACGTCGTATACATATACATATACATATGCATGTATAAATATATACACATATATAACTATATATATATACACATGCACATGTGCATAAATGTATATACATACATACCACCTAGCTGAAACGAAATTCAAAAAGCACGCGTTTCCCTCGAAGCTTCTTTCATGAAAAATCGATCGCCCCCTGCGATCTCGATCACTATCCAGCGAGAACACGAAGGGCCAATACAAGCACGAAGAAGAGAACCTTGGGCCCGCGCCTTTGCCAGAAACAAAAAATCTCACGCGCGAAAATGCGGGCAAAGGACAAGGCATTTACGCGCGAATGTCCGCTCGGTCGCCCACGATGTTTCACGTCCCCCACTTGAACAAACCCCAGAACACAATAAACGAAGGGGAGAGAGAGGGGAAGAGGGTGGGGGGAGGGAGGAAACGCTTCTGGAGAGCATGTGGTGCAGAGGGCGCACACGACCACCGCCCCGCTTGAACGAGGAGCGGGGGCGGGAAGAGCGGCGAGAGGCGGCGGCCCCCCCACAGACGACCCCCCCTTCTCCCACATCCTTCACCTGAGAACAGAGGGCCGACGCCACAAACGCAAACTTCGGGTCCTCCGAACACCGGCGGCACGTAGCGCGAAGGCGGTCGCAGAAGTCCCGCCGCGCCTTGCTCGCATCTGGCTCGCCAGCGCGGGCCGCTTCGCCCTGCGCGAAGACAGCACCGCCGACAGTGAAGTCGGCCCGGTCGAAGTCTTTCAGGCACTGCGAGTGCAGGCCGCGGTCCTGCACCCCCGTCCACCTCCTCCGCGCGTGCTCCTTATGGATAACTCGCCCCAATCGCACCCCGAAACGTGTCGGTACATCAGGCTGGGCGTTTCGCCTGAGACCGTCCTCACCACTGAAGATCCTGAGGCTTGAAATTCGCAACAGTTCCAAGGACATGCGGTTGTCGCCTTGGCGCCGCGCAAATTCTCCTTCAAAGAACGCATTATCATCACGGATGAAGGGCGGGTCCATTTTCAAAACGCGGTTTCGACTTACCGCCGCGCACATCCGTTAAAAAGGAGAACACTACCTTTGCAAATTGTGGTTTTCGCAACAACGCCGCGCACATCCGTCTTAATATTATCATGGGTGCCATCCCCGAAACTGTCTGGGCACGATGTACAACTGTCAGGGCGCAACAATTATGTTGATTCGCGGCGTGAATATATCACGATCGGTGTCATGACACGAGTTAGGATCGCCAGACCGCAATAATAACGTTGATTTGCGGCGCCCTGACGCCAAAAGAGCGGTGTTCTGGCACGGCGCAGGATGTTCGAGCGGTTGCTCTCCGACGGAGCATGTCCCTTTGCGAAGATAAACCTCCCACTGGAGACCTACGGAAAGAAGAAAAACAATATGAAAATGGTGAAAGGTTTTTCTAGCAACATCGCTGACGTGTCCTAAATTAGCTTTAGTCATTCTCCCCCTCCTCCTCCTCCTCCTCCTCCTCCTCCTCATCTTCCTCCTCCACCTACTTGTTCCATTCCTCTGTCCCTTTTCCTTCATCGCCCCTCTCAAATCCACCCCCACATCCCCAACCCTGGGTCCCCCTCCTCCTGCCCCTCTTCACCATCACCGCCATCATCATCATCATCATCATCATCATCATCATCATCATCATCATCATCATCATCATCATCATCATCATCATCATCATCATCATCAGCATTATCAGCATTATCAGCATTATCAGCATCACTAGCCTCATCATAATCCCCCCCCCCACACTCCCCATCATCCTCCTTCCCTTGAAAATCGGACATGAATTTGTTCACGACAAGGCAAGTTAGCACATGAGCCACATGTCAACGGCAACGCTACCACCTGACAGCGGAGTGCGTGGCAACGCCCTTCACCCAGTCGCACGGCCAGGTTCTAACGCCCCCATCGGCAAATTGTTACCACATGAGGCGGCGGGTGGATATCTCATTTACAGCGAACTGGATAGGAGCTAACTGGATGGTATAGGCATGTGAAAAAAAGGAAGGACAACAAAAAACGAAGCCTGCGATGACAGACGCCATAGCAGGCCCTGTGACGAATCTAAATGCGCAGGCTCTTGTTATCAATGCAAGTCTCCAAGCTATCCAAAAGCAATGAAAATCATACGTGGTGCAAGCAGGATGAGACAATGAGTTGGGCGAACACGCGAAGAGGTTTATGGTAACCTTTTTTCCATTACTTGCCGTAAAGAATCAAGCCATTCAAAAAGGGTCTACAAATTCTGGAGCGCGTGTGGACGAACACCCAGATCGCAAATGAACCCGAGCTCGAGTCTCCGCCAAAGCGGCACGCGATGACAAACTGGAGACGGATTAAGCAAACGCTCCGTAGCTGGCGGGCGCCAGCTCGCGTCGTCAGCTAACACCGCGTTACATGGTACCCCGCGCGTGCATGGATACATCGTCCCTGCGAACATATTGTGTTAAACCGTTCGCACGGTTCTCACGGGAGGGTTACTACTTTGATCACTTTGATGTCCCCTCGTCGTACATTCTCTTGTATACAGAATGACGAACCTCGATGTGTCTGACTCGTCATAGTCCTCGTCGGCTCGCGATAGCAACGGCCGCAGCAGCATCGCTCTTCAACGCGATATTGCAATCAACACCGGAATGTGCGAGAACTGTCTGTGGTCCTAGCGCTGTAGGCCATGGCGGAGATCTGCGCGGCAGTCTGGGAAAGAAAAGGACTTGTTTCTTCTCTGGCACACAAGAATTTCCTGCGAGCTTACTCGGCTACGGAACGAGCGTTCGAGACATCCCCCTGCCCCTTATACACATTCTGGCAACTACTAAGACCGAATGCCGCACTGATACAACAGTACCCCAACTTTCTGTCGGTCCTAGTCTGTCAAGCTCGGCCAATGTAGTGAGATGCTCCGAGCAGCTGTTTGCCAGACAGCAAAATGCTCAAGCCCTGGTGAGAACCTAAGAAGAAGGAAGAGGGAGAGAGAGAGAGGGAAAAAAAGACAAAGAGAGAGAGAGAGAAGAACAAAAACAAAAAAACAGAGAGAGAGAGAGAGCACCCCCCTGCGTCTCAGGGTGTCAGTTGTTACTACCCTCCCTGGTCCGTCGCCCTCTCCTCCTCAAGCCTCCCCCCACTGGTGCCTTTGCTCCTGTGCTTGGACACCTTCCCAGCGGATCTGGCCTCGAATTATTGTCCTGGGTCTCCCAGGTGAATCCTCCATGTTCTCAGCAGACGAGAGAGAGCGGCATTTCCTTTCGCCACGTCGAGCTTTTTCATCATATCGGAAAGATTGAGGGAATGGGGAACCCACCGTACTACTGAACCGTCCTTCTCCACCACATCCTTCAGGATTGCTACATATATAGCAGCGCGCCTATCCTCCTTCCGTCCCGCTGTGTACTTCATCAACGAGTCGATCACGGACTTGGCATCGACGATCCGCGCCCCTCCCCCCCCTCCTTGGCTGGACGCAGCTCTGAGCCTTCCTCGGGGAGACACACCGCGTCACCCGCCCCCAGGTCTCTGTGGAGGCTCGGACGGACTCCGAAGGCGGCCTCTCTGAACATGGAGGAGATCCACTCTGACTCGCCCACGCACTGGGATAGGGCCATCGCCTCTGCTGCCAGGGTGGAATTGACCGATCACTTCAGACGATACGAGCGCCAGGATATGACAGAAACCCACCATGGTTCTCCTCTAGCTACGCTCCTGTCTCCTACCCTAGCAATCCAAGCGCCCTGGACTGATCCTGAATCCTCGGCTCCGATCCCTCCTGCATCACTGGCTGGGAGGCTGTATCTCGTAGAAGTTTGCTAGTGAGACGTGCTGGATGGTGGCTGCAGGAAGGCGACTCGCAAACATGGAGGTTGTCCCGGATACCTCTGGTCGCGTCTCATTGCCCACCCAGCTCAGGCGGTAGACCAGCGAGCGCAATGAGGCAAACTCGTCTGGGCGGAGCTGAAGGTCACCGTCATTCCTGCCTCGCGGCAGATGGATTGGAAAGATCTCTTCTAGGATATACCTCTTGGTCGATCAGCACTCTATCGGCCAGCCTCCTGACTCTCCTCCCCGCATACTCGGTGTCTGAGCCCTTCCAATTACCGAATTCGTAGGCGGATGTCAGAGCATGGCGCACCTGCTCCGGGACGCTGGGATGTGAGGCTATCCACAGGTCGACCACCTCAATGAAGACCTGAGACATGAGCCTGCCGTTCTGGCGGAGCACCCAATAGCATGGCTCGAGGAGGAGCTTCCTGAATCCTGCCTCACCCAGCGTGGAGGCGATGGCGTTGTACCACTCGAGTGGGGCGTCGTCAAATCCGCACACGGCCACCTCCAGTTCAAGAATGCATCCCTCTTCGACGAAGATGCCCTGGACTCATTCACATGGCTCTACGTAGAGAGGGACGTAGAGAGGGCCGTTGGCCCGCTTCAGCTTGCGGCTCTGTGCGAAGGCGCTGTTGGCGTCAGCCACGTCCTGCTCGAGATCGAGGGAAGCCATGACTAGAGCGAAGATGTTCATGGACTCTGACTGCAGGGTCGGACTGCAGGTGCTCATGGTGCCAGTGTCTGGGTCGAGATGGCCGTGCACGCACCACCAGCTCTTGGCCGCGCGCGAGGCATTCACTCCCTCGCGCACTTCCCACCCCCTCACCATTCTACAGGATCCTTTCAGGTCGCGATCTGCGGACCTGATCGGAAGCCTCCTTGCTCAGGATCCAAAGGACACCTGACCTGGCGACTGAGTGCCACTCGGAAGCGCCCGCTTCTCTGAACTTCTCGCGGCGTTCGGCTTTGAGTTCCTCGAGGCTCACGTCTCCTCCCCGAGAGGTGGCTAGTGACCACGCTCTGGTCGCCTAATCTGCATCCTCACCTACGCGAGAGAAGGATGCATCGCCATTCAGGAAGGTCTGGCGAGCACCGCTCAAACCTCGTTCCTCGAACCACTGGCCAAAAGCCCCACGGCATCCTAACAGCAAATCCTCGTCCTCGCCCTCCTCTCCCTGACTGGCTGCCTCTCTGTCTGCGGAGGGAACTGGGGGTGCTGCGGCTGCCCTGCTGCCACTGCCAGAACTGCCTCCCCCCCCTCTTCTCCCTCCTGCCCGCATCTCCTCCTCCTGCCTCCTCCAATCCGATTGGTCACAGAACCTCTGATATTCCTGAATCCGGCTTCGGGCTCTGCCCTCGGAATGTGGAATCAGCTCTCTCGGAGTGGGAAGCCCCGCCCCCTGAAGCTCTCTCGAAGATAGAGGCCTCCCGAGATGCTCCTGAGATGCGCAGGGACCAGGGAACCTCCGGCCACGTTCACCCTCGCTGTCTTGCTCTTCTCGGAGCGGATGCTCTCTTGCACGGAGCTGGGAGGCTCGACGGTCGGGGCGGACGACGCTGACCTGGGGGTGATCTGTCCCGCGGCGGAACCTGCTGTCGACGCTGCAGCAGAAGGCGAGGGCACAGGTAGCCCGATCCTCCTCGCCTCAGGACCCGGAGCCCACGCTTCCACACACCTCTGATCTGGCTGACTTGGGCTGCTGGGTCCTGCGCTGCTGGAGGTTGCTGCTGCTGCTCTGACCTGGGGGGGCTCCTCCGTCGGCTCTGGTCTGATGTCCTGAGGCGCCTGAGCCTCGGCACTGTGGCTGTCCTGGCATCCTGGCTATGCTCCTTCGCTTTCTCCTCCTTCTCTGCCTCTATCTTCACCCTCTCTGTCCCTCGCAGCTGCCTCCGTCTGCTGCGGTGCTGGTGCTCTCTCTGCCTCCTCCTCCTCCTCCTCCTCCTCCTCCTCCTCCTCCTCCTCCTCCTCCTCCTCCTCCTCCTCCTCCTCCTCCTCCTCCTCCTCCTCCTCCTGCACCCCTGCATCTGCCATGGACCCTGGAGGAAGATCCCAAGCACCTTCGAGGAGGTCCCTCGCATGCTACGTCTATTGCCGACCCCGAGGTGCCGCGCTATCCGAATCGCCCCCAGAGACTCTTCAACGCCTCGTGCTGCATCAGTTCAGCTCCTAGAATCTGATCCTGCGTGGATGCTCAGAACTGCTCCGTGGCGTACTTCCGTGGCTCTGGATCTCCGAAAGCTTTTCTAAGGCCTTCCTCTGGGGTCCTGGAGAGTTCCTGAAGGCCCCCTCTGGCTTTCCCAGGGACTTCTGAATGTCTCACGGCGTTCCCAAGGTGCACTGAAGTTTCACAAGGACTCTCCCAGGACCTTCCCGAGAATCTCCTCCTGCGCCTTTCCCGAGGTCCTCCAAGAGATGCGCAACTCCCCGAGCACGCGAGGGACGGCTTCCTGGTCTTGCCCGTACCCGCGCCCACCCCCCCTGTCCAGATCGTCACCGCCAGGCTGCGCCCTCGCCTCCGCGACCATGGCGACCACCTGATGCCCGTCGGGTTGACCCCTGGAGGATGCGGGCCGTGCAACGACGATCGGCGCACACGCCTTCCACCTGAGCGACGCAGATAGAGGGGGATCTTACGCACGAGGAGCGGCGACCGTTCGCGATGGCTCACGCAGGCCACTGGCGCGGCACCCCACGTGCGCCTCCGGGCAACCTTGAGCGAGAATCTTGCGCGCGCAAACCCGCGCATTCGACTCCGTCTGCTCGCCAACATTGGGCACACACGCACGCATTCCGCCCTGGGCGCAGGATCGATGCGCGCGCGATCATCCGGGGGGGCGTGCCCACCGATCTTGGGCCCAGGATGGGCCCGGCCAGGATCGGTGAAGGCGGGTAGTTGGCGCCCCCCGGCCCTGACCCCCTGCCTCCGTGGGCTGCCCCCACCAGCTCCTCGCGATTCGCAGATCGATCGAACTGCCCCTACGGTCGGAGGCGGAGGACGAGAACGAGAAGGGCAGGAGGGGGGGCAGGAGAAGGAGGGAGCGAGAGGAGCCCCATGTCAAGGGACAGGGGGAGTTGCCCTCGGGGGCTGCATGATGCCCGGGCGGGGGGGGGAAACTAAGAGTTTGAAACCGATCTCGCTCCTCTGTGATGCCAGGCTGGGCGTAGCACCGTTTTCTCGAAGCCGAGAAGCGCCCAAGTCGGCGCCGATCCCCGGGCGCAGGCCGCCCGGCACAGCTGAAACCTGGGGCCCCAGGCTTGGGCCCAGTGGTTGCGGGAGCACGGGAGAGGGGCAGAGGGAGAGCAAAGAGGAAAGGGATAGGCGGGTTGAGGCGAGCCTGGAAATCTTCACACGCCCTTAAAAGGAGACGCCGAAAACAGCCTGGCTGGCACCTCAATCTGCGATGTCCCGCATCTCATTCGCTCTCACGAATTTGTCCTGCTGCCTCTTCTCCGTCTTCGTAGTGTCGATGGCGGTCTTGCGACTAGCACGCTGCATACTCTTCCTCATCTTGATCGCCGCCGCCGCCGGGTCCTGCACCAGGCTCCACTTGGCCTCCCGCAGCACCTTGTGGAGGTAGACCTTGTCCACCCCAAGCTTCGTCAGCACATCTGCGATGTTCTGCGAGCCGTCAATCCACCTGAGGTGGGTGTTCTCGCAGCGCAGCACTTCTCTGAGCAAGGCGCCCTCGATCGCCATCCTCTTGTCCTTGCTCTTAGCCGAGCCCCCCTTCGTGAGGTGGTCGTAGACGGACTTTGCGTCTGTCGCCCAGAAGCGGGGAAGCCGCTGCACCTCCCCCTGCCAATTGAGCCAATCCACCGAGACATTCATAGCCTCTCTGAACAGCACTGCCGCCCAGTCGACGGCCTCCACTGCGTCTGCCAGGTGACTGGCCTCCGCCGCCAAGGTTGAGCGGCACACACGCTGCGTCATGCCACTCTTCCAGTCCAGCACTGCCACCGGTGCTTGGTGCCCGGCCAGGACGCCGTCGGTCGTGAGGAGCACCACGTGGCCACCGAAGCTCTTGTAGCGCTCGATGTCGTCGTGCTCCGGGCCGTTCGCGTGACCCGCGTCCACGGCCGCGCCGATCACAGCGCTGGAAAGCCTCAAGTTGGCCGGGTAGACCAGCGCGACCTCAGCGCCCTTCTTGGCCTCAGACACCGCCAGGTTCGCCTTCACCAGGTCCGCCACACACGGGGCCGCTCGGGCCCTCTGCAGCTCGCCCGAGAGGAAGGCTAGGTCGAGCCGGCACTGTCGACCTAGCCAGCCGACCTCACCAGATACCCTCAGCAGTTCCTTCGCCTCATCCTCGTTCAAGTCCTCTTGCAACTGATTCCTTCGACCTGCTGGGATCTTGATCGGCTTGAGGGAAATTGCGTAGTTCACCATCTTAACCAGAAAACCTCTCGGATCACTCGAAAGCTCGCGGCCGCGGAAGGTGAAGGGCAGCTCGCTCCACTTCCACTGGAACGCCCCCAGGACCTTCGGCAAGAGGTCCGACAGCTGCATGTCCTTCATCCTCGCCACCAGCACGTCGTCACCGTGCGAGACCGCAATGTCCTTCAGCTGCCCGTCCACGCGCTTGTAGAAGAGCGCCGGCTCCAGGCGCGACTGAAGCCAGCCGTCGGACAGCAAGGCGTCACGCAGCGCTAGCCAGAATAGCCTTGCTGCCTCCGCGAAGCCGTAGATGGCCCTGCGGGCCCTCAGCAACTGGCCCGGGGCCAAGGCCAGGCAGGCCTCCTCGAGGCTGCTCCAGGTAGACCTCGCGCTGCAGGTTCTGCCCATTGAAGTAGGCGTTCTTGACGTCGCCCAGGGAGAGGATCATGCCCATGGCCGCCGCCAGCGTCAGGAGCAGCGCCTCCGCCAGCCGCGAGGCAGTGGGAGCGCCCCGCCTGAACATACCCAACAAGCGGTCGCGAAAGCCCACCACGACCAGGCGGCTCTTCGCGAGCAGCGGCAGAGGGGCTCCGGCCTCATCGTACTTCCCGTCGTTCTTGTCGGTATCCACCCAGCGCATCGGGATGATGATGTTGGCCTTGTCCGCGCGGAGCGCCTCGCTCTCATCCGGCGGGATCGGCTCGGCCGCGTCAAAGTCCTGCCAGGATCGCCACTCTGCATCACGGCTGCCACCTCGATCCATGAACATCCGGCGTTGCTCCTCAGGCAAGCTGCCGAGCTTGATCTCCTTCCTCCCAGGCTTCGTCAGGAAAGCGTGCTCGAACGCATTCCGCATCAGCCCGAAGATGAACTCTTCCTTGCCGATGCCCTCCTGGACGAAGAAAGCCTCGCCCTGCTGGTACGTCTCCAAGCCGGCCTCCATGAACTCATCCAGGTCATTGTCCAGCACGGACTTCGCCGAGTCGACAGGCGCCGAGAGGCTGGATCCTGCAGTCCCCTGTCGGATCGAGACAGGGACATCGTCCAGCAGGCGCCGTCGCTTGGCCTCCCGCTCGCGGCGCTCCTCAGTCTCCTCTTCCTCCAGGAGACCCCCAGGACGCCGATGCCGAGAAGCCCCCGGCTCGGGCTCCGCGTGCACCCCGTGAGAGTCGGGGTGCCAGTCATCGTCGCCGTCGTCCCTCATGATCTCCTGCATCGCCGCGTCGAACTCCATCGCGTCGAAGTCCAGGTCGGGCGGCACGGGCACGCCCTCAGCCCCCACAGCTGGGGCTGGCGCCGCGGGCGGCTCGGGCGCGGCTGGAGCCGCGCGGGGAGCCTCCGCCTCAGGCGGGGCCGGAGGCGCCTCCGGCTCAGGGGGGGCCGAGGCGGGCTGCGGCTCCTCCGGCACCTCCGCCCGCGGCCCTACGTCCATGCCGCTCTCGTCGCCCTGCTCAGCGGGCTCCTGCCCCGCCGCGGCGGGGGGCTTGGGCCGGCCTCGCAGGTCCACGAAGCCGCTGCCGCCGCTGACGGGCGTGTCGTGCACCAACTCCTGCTCCTGCGCAATCGATCTCCAGGCGTGGATCTCGTGGCCAGTCGCTGCAGCCAAAAGCTCCGGGCTCGCGAGCACGGTGAGACCACGGAAAGCAAGCCACACTCCATGCCGTCCCTCATGTCCGATCACGCGCGCCAGCCCTCGCCAGTTGTCTGGATGCTCAGGCCGATGCTTGGCTGGCTGCGCTTGATCGTAGAAAAGCACCCACTGGCCGACAACGAACGGCCCTCTCGTCGGTCGTATCTGTCGAAGCTCTGCTCGTCGAAGTCGATCCTCCGTGTCGGTCTGGATGAAAGCCATCCGGCACTGGTTCCTGATCTCCACCTTACGGGCAAAACGCGAGCCCGGCGTAGCAGCTGCCACCTGCTCGCCCACACGCTCCACCTCGGCGTCGTCCGCGAGGCTCGCCGGGAGGCGAGCATCCCGGCCGAGGACCCAAAGGTAGGGGCTGAAACCAGCCCGCCGGGCCAGCGCGTTCTTGGCCCTGTTGCACTCCGTCACTGCCGCCCTCACCTCCTCAAGGCCCGCCACCTGCTTGTCGTGCACCACCCTCGTGAGCATCGAGTTCCAGATGCCGTCGCGGCGCTCCATCTTGCCGATGTGCCACGGCGAGGCCAGAGCGGCCGAGTCCAGGCGCACGCCCTCCTGCTCCAGGTAGTCCGCGAACTCGCCCAGGAAGGACAGCGCGCGGTCCACCATGATCGCCTCCTCCGGCTGGCCAGCCCAGGAGACCCAGCAGAGCTCGTAGAACTTCCTGGCATCCGAGGCCTTGGGGTTCTTGTGAGTGTCCTCCAGCAGGCAAACCACGTGGAAGTTCGTCCCCATACACATGATGCCAAGGAACTCCCAGTTGTTGCCGGCGCTGTCGACGTTCTCGAAGCAGTCCATCGCGAGCAGCACGTTAAACTCGTCGACCCTCGGGAGCTGACTCGGACGTGGGACGCTGGGTCGCTGCACTCGCCGGCAGCTCTCACAGACAAACAGCCTCGCTGCCTTCAGCGCCAGCGCCGTTGCCTTGCCCAGGCGCAACGCCCTGAGCAGCGCGGGCCGCGAGGGGTGCCCGAGGTTCACGTGCACCCTCTCGATCGCCCTCTTGACGGCTCTCGGCAACAGCTCCCAACGTCGCTTCCTCTCCCGCGAGGCGCCCCGCTGCTGTGCTGCAGCCGGCCCCTCGGGCAGGTCGCCCCGCTCGTAGCCCGCGAAGTAGAAGACCACCACGTCGTTCTCGAATAGATGTCGTGGCAACCAGCGCCGTCGCGCTTGCAGTGACTGTTGCGACCAGTCCTCGAAGTCTAGCCTGAAGAGCTGGTCGCCCTTGAGCGCAGTGACCATCCTGAGCGGGGCGTCCGCGGCGCGCAGCTGCGGCTGCGCCGTCTGGAGTCGCTGACCCCCACGTCTAGCCTTCACCATCTTCAGCGGCTCGCTGACGACTCCTCCCAGCTCCTCCAGGAAGAGGTCCGAGCCCCAGATGATCGTCTCGATATCCTCGCCCATCTTCTCCAGTAACCTCCTATGCCAACTCCGGAACGTGTCCAGCTCAGCGCACAGCTCCACCGTCAGCAGCTCGAACTCGCCGCACTGCGTACGACGCCCCCGGCGGAAGCCCAGCGGGCGTCCGCCAGGAGGCACGCCGCGCTCGCGGCGAGCAGGCGCTCGGCCGCGCCTGGGCCTCACGGGCACCTCGGCCGGTGCCTCTGGGGCCTCCGCCGCCGCCTCGGCAGGCGGCGCGTCCTCTCCGAGAGGCGGGCCCTCCTGGTGCGCCTCCTCTGGCACAGGCCCCCCCCGCGGCGGGCTCCGCGATCGCGGACGCTCGTGAGGGAAAGCATCCTCCACCGGGAAGGCCGCATCCATGACTAGCGAGCTGCGGTAGTCGATCTGCATCTGCTGGAGCACGCCGCGACAGAAGGCCTTCGCGAGGCCCACGGGGTAGGCTGCCGCCTGCTGCGCCCGATAGCCGCCCGAGTTCCTCCCGAGCAGCTGCTGGTGGGCGCCGGGCGGACAGGCACAGCGCTTGCTCAGGTGGTTCGCCCCCGCTGCGCTGTTCGCGAGCCACCCCGTCGGCTTCTCGATCGGCTTGCCCGTATCCTTGTCGCAGGCTCCGTAGGCACATTGATCTCCGCGCACAAACACAACACCTTCCAAATCCCACAAACGTATCAGGATGCCATCATACTCCCAAGAAAGTGCTGTCAAAGGCTGCTCGATCAAGAAATACCGCCCTCTCGCATGCACACACCGAGATACCCTCCGAACAAGCAAAAGATAGCGGCGGGCACTCCTGCGGACTTCATCCCAGTCGGTGAGCCTGTTCATGTTGGTCATCAAAGACCACGGATGACAGGGAAAAGCCAACACTGTGATGTAAGGCCAGTGCAGGTCGAGGATCCGGTAGAATAAGGCCCGTCCAGGGCCCTTGAGCAAGTCATAGTCGGGAGAGTGGTCCACATCCAACGGCTGAGACTGCATCCAACCGTGCCCCTTTGCACCGTAGCGCGTCAGGATGTGCTCTCCGCCGAACGGCTCGAACACCACCGTGGTCTGGAAGTCGGCGGTCACGAAACGCTCCGCCTCGAACCTCGGTCGAAGTAGCTCTTCTCGTAGTCGTCGATCCTCTCCACGAAGCTCACGCCAGGTGGACTCGAGCTTCTTCCGAGTCGTCTTGGAGAGGACCCTGTCGCGTCGGTGGCCAGCACGCCGCGATCCCTCGACAGGAAGGCGCGGCCAACCTCCTCCTCGACTCGGATCTCCTCGCCGTCGGACTCCTCGAAGACCGACTCCTTCCGCGCCTGCGCATAGAAGAACTCCGAGTCCCTATTCTTCGAGATCGCCGTCGCTGGCCCTGAACTCGAAGCTGATGCCGATCGGTGACCATCATCGTCTCCCCAGTCATCAAGTCGCACTGCCAAGTGACCGCCCACCTTGAGCAGCTGCACGTCCACGGCGAGCGTCTGCAGCTCCATCCGCATCTCCTTCAAGTGGAGCACGGCACCCAGCGCCTCCTGCGACGCCAGGCTGACCAGAAGCGGGGCGTCGCAGTCCTCCATCTCCGCGCTGAAGATCACCCCGCGGCGGCCGCCAAGGGCGACCGGGATCTCGACCGCGCGCCCCTCCTGCCTCTTGCCGAAGGCCGAGGAGAAGCTCCCCACGCGGTCCGTCATCTTGATCTCGAGGCCGCGGGGATGCAGGCACCTCTTCTCGTACAGCTCCCGCCACTGTTTGCCGCGCATACATCTTGCGCAACCGGCATCGATGAGCGCCGCTGGCACGTCAGACGCGTCACTGTCTTCACTCACCATAAGCACCATCTCCAAAAATCCTTCCCCGGGTACTGGGCGCACGCGGCGCCCGCGAGGGGCCCCTCTGGGCCCCGGTGTGGAGCGTGCTCAGGCCGAAGACGGTGGCGGCCGCGCCACGCGCAGCCTCTGCTCGCCCTCGTTGTAGTTCAGCGCGCCCCTGCAGTCCGGAAACTGACTGCATCCGAAGAACCAGCCGCCTGTCCGATGATTCTGGCGAGCCACCAGAGCCTTGGAGCACTTCGGGCACGGCAGCACCTCGTCGTCCTTCATCGTCGGGAGGATCGTGCTGAGGCCGTCGCTGACCACGCTCGCGCTGTCGCCGACGTCGCTGCCCACGAGCTTGAAGGAGCCGAGGTCGGAGCCGCGGTCCGAGCTGACGAGGAAGGCCGAGTCGTACTCGACGTCGTCCAGCACGAAAAGGGTCGCGCCCCTCTGCTTCTTGGCACTGGTGCTGCTCGATGGGCGGGGACTGCTGCCCGAAGCCGAGGGGCTGCTCCATGCCGGGCGCGAAAGCGCCGCTGCTCGTCCACGTGGATCCGCTCGACTCTTCGGCTTCGCCGACGGCTTCGGCCTGTTCGGGCCCATGGGGCACTCCGGGTCCCCCGCCCAGTGGCCGAGCTTGCCGCACGCCCCGCAGTGCGCGCGCTGCTTGTCCTTTGCGATCTCGGCCTTGCGCTCCTCAAAAGTCAGCGTGCCCTCCGCCTTGAAGAAGCCACGCTTCCGCTGGAGGTCCCGAACCTTGGCCCGCGCAGTGTCGTAGGCGGCGTACGCGTTGTTGATCGCCTCGTCCTGACTCGCGCCAGCGTCGCTGGCGATGTCCTCCTCGGCGTCACCGCCCTCGTAGGCCTCGTAGACCTCGTCGTCGTAGTCCTCGTCCTGCTCGTCCTCCTCGTTGTCCACGTCGTCCGCCTCCGTGTAGTACACCCTCGCCTGCTTCTTGGACTTGTCCTTGCCGCCCTTGCCTCCACCCTTCGAGCGTCCATGAGGATGAGGCTGTGGCGGCCGGGAGGTCTTCCCCTGCAGGTGGAGGTCGTGGTAGTTCGTCTTCAGTGTGTTCTCGAAGGCCTTTGTCTCATACTTGTTGTCCGCCACCATCGTGACCAGCCTCTTCTGGTCGTCTGTCAGCATAGCCCCCTCAAGGAGGAAGTACGCGTAGAGATCGTCGCTGAGTTTCGTCCCCGTGTCCAGCTCTGTCAGCTCCTTGTACTTGTCGTGGAACGTCCTCAAATACTCGACGATCTCCTGGCCACGACGACGGCGGGACCTCTTGAAGAAATCGTCGAACTTCTGCTGCTTGCGCACCACCGCTACCTTGTCCAGGCCATCGAGAGCCTCGATGACCTTCTGGTGCGAGCCGTCCTGGGTGAGCGACGCCAGGTCGTCCAGCAGGGGCTCCACCGCCTTCCACGCGCGGCCCGTGAGGCCTCGCGTCAGGCGCTAGCCCAGGTTCGCCCGCTTCTCCTTGCCAGCCTCCGTCGAGCTCGACTGTGTGCTGTCCTCTATCATCACCCTCATTCGATATTCTCGTAGAAGAGCTATGTTCTCACCGTCCCAGTGCGGGATGCCCTCTTTGTCGACAAAGAGCTCCTCTGCGGACTCGTCTGTCATACGGGCCATTCTCTCCGCCGTAGATCGAAAACCTGCTCCGCGACCAGCTTGAAACCGATTTCGCTCCTCTGTGATGCCAGGCTGGGCGTAGCACCTTTTTCTCGAAGCCGAGAAGCGCCCAAGTCGGCGCCGATCCCCGGGCGCAGGCCGCCCGGCACAGCTGAAACCTGGGGCCCCAGGCTTGGGCCCACAGTGGTTGCGGGAGCACGGGAGAGGGGCAGAGGGAGAGCAAAGAGGAAAGGGATAGGCGGGTTGAGGCGAGCCTGGAAATCTTCACAAAGAGTGAGACGTGATCGCTGGAGAAGCGAGGCGGACGGAGGAGGGAGGGTAGAGGCAAGAGGGAGCAGGGAGAGAGAAGGCAGGGAGGGAGGACGGAGGGGAGAAGGAGGAGGGGGGAGGTAAACGATGAAAACATGACAAACTCGAGCTCATGATCCGACTCAATTCCGAAGCGGGACGAAACGGCACGGGGCGCAGACGCATGGACGCGCCACGGAACGGGCAGGGAAAGCGCCAGGAGGCAAACCAGGGAAGGCGACAGAGGACGAGCCAGGCGACGCACAGAGGGGGGAAGGGCATACGCCGTCCCGCTCTGAGGCGTTAGGAGCCATGTGTTGTCACGAATGTCCCGCTTTGGGGCGGTAGGAATCCATGTGGTTTCACGCCTGTCCCGCTCTGAGGCGTTAGGAACCCACGTGTTGTCACGATTGTCCCGCCCTGGGGCGTTAGAAACCCTTCGTTTTCACGCTTGTCCCGCTCTGAGGCGTTAGGGGCCCACGTGTTTTCACGCTTGACCCGTTCTAGAGCGTTAGGGTTGACGTGGTTTCACGTTTGCCCCACTTTGGGGCATTAGAAACCCATGTGTATTCACGTTTGTCCCGCTCTGGGGCGTTAGGAACCCACGTGGTGTCGCGCTTGTCCTGCTCTGGGGCGCTAGAATTCATGTGTTGTCACGCTTGTCACGACGTTTGTCCCGCTTGGGGGCGTTAGGAACCCACGAGTGTTCACGCTTGTCCCCCTTCTGGGGGGGGCGGTCGCAACCATGTCGGTATTCATGCGTTGTCACGCTTGTCCCGTTCTGGGGCATTAGGAATCCATGTGGTTTCACGCTTGTCCCGCTCTAGGGTGTTTGGAACCCCGTATGTTCGTGCTTGTCTCGCTCTAGGGAATTGGGGACCATGTGTTTGGGTCTGTCCTAATCTGGGGCGATTGGAAACCACGTGCTGTCACGATTGTTCCGCTCTGGGGCGTTAGGGACCCACGTGGACTCACGCTCGCCCCGCTCTGAGGCGTGAGAAGCCACGTGGTTTCATGCTTGTCCCGGTTTGGGAAGTTAGGAACCCATGTGGTGTCACGCTTCTCCCGCCCTCGGGCGCTAGGGACCCACATGTACTCACGTTTGTCCCGCTACGGGGCGATAGGAGCCCACTTGTTTTCACGCTTGTCCCGCCCTGGGGCGTTAGGAATCCACGTGTTCTCACGTTTGTCCCGCTCTGGGACATCAAGAACCATGCGTTGTCACGCTTGTCCTGTTCTGCGGCGTGGCCCCCATGTGTTTTCACGCACGTCCCGCCCTGGGGCGTTGAGAACCCACGTGTGTTCATGGTTGTCCCACCCTCGGGCGTTAGAAACCCACGTGTTTGCACGTGCCCAGGCCCCCGGGGGGAGATGATTGGCACGCGGTCGGCTGGGCCAACCAAAGCGGGGTGGGCACAATAGCAAGAACAATTCAATGAACCGACATCGGATGTGTAGTAACTAGAAACGTCATGATGGGGGCCTCCTGGGGGGTGTTGGGACGCCTCCTGGGGAATCCAGAAACCGTTAGGGAACAACACATGAACATTACGATTGCATATGTGTATATATATATATATATATATATATATATAAATGTGTGTATAAATGTATATATATATATATATAGAACCACGCGCGCGCTTCGCATGCCATGCCATGCTGTATTGTGAAATGTTATGATGAAATGTGTGGTGATACGCTGTGTTATAGCATGATGTGTTGCCTATGAGGAGCGATGCTACCGCGCTACATGGTACGCACCCACACACGGCAAGCCGGGCTATGCAATGCAACGCTGTGCCATGTGTTGGCGGCAGTTTGGGAAGCCTCTTGAAGGCAGTTTTGGATGGCCTTTTGGGGTGTTCTTGGGGCCTCTTATTGAGCCTCTTTGGGGCCTCGTGGAGCCTCTTGGGGACCTCTGGGGGGCCTCTTGGGCTATGTTGGGTGCCTCTTGGGGTCTCCTGAGGGCCTCCTGGGGCGGAAGGCTCAAATTGTCGGTTCATGCTCACCCTCTTGGGGCTGCTGGTGGGTCGCGCGGAGTGAGGCACCGCGCGGATTTGAGCGGGACCTCGCCGTCCATGGGGGGCTGCGATCTGCGAAACTGTCGCCACTTTCGAGGGCTGCTGGTGGGTCCTGCGGAGTGAGGCACCGCGCAAATCTGAGCGGGACCTCGCCGTCCCCGGGGGGGGGGGCGATCTGCGAAACTGTCGCCACTTTCGAGGGCTGCTGGTGGGTCCTGCGGAGTGAGGCACCGCGCAGATCTGAGCGGGACCTCGCCGTCCCCGGGGGGGGGCGATCTGCGAAACTGTCGCCACTTTCGAGGGCTGCTGGTGGGTCCTGCGGGGTGAGGCACCGCGCGGATCTGAGCGGGACCTCGCCGTCCCTGAGGGGGTGCGATCTGCGAAACTGTCGCCACTTTCGAGGGCTGCTGGTGGGTCCAGCGGAGTTGTCAGCACCAGCGGCGGCGGGCATTGGTGAGGAGGGACCACGGGAGAGGCGTGAGAGCATTTATCATAGGACAGCAGCGAGCCCAACTCGGGCGCTCACACTAAGCCATAGGCTGCGGACGGGGCAAGCACGAAGGGAGCGGGAAAGTGGGAAAGGGAGGACCAACCCGAGTAGCCCCCACCAGAGACCGACTCATAGGTATCGGGGACAGCGGGCCAAACTTTCGCGGGCTTGACCTCGCCCGCACCCCCAGGCCCGAGACTTCCCCTCCTCTCCGACTCCTTCTGAAGCCAGGCCGGAAGAACCCGTCCGCGCGCCAGGTCTGCGCGCGGGACTGCGGGTCGTCGGGCGTCAGCGTCGCCGTCGTCGCCGCAGTCGCCGTCAAACTAGTACTCTTACAGTGCACCGGGGGGGCCCCATCCACCCCTGGTAGGTCAAGTAGACCGGAGCCACTCGGGCCCCATCACATCCCACGCTAAGCCACACGGGCTCCGAGAGGGACGAACCCTCTAACATTTTTCTGCTCGCAGGTCGAGACCTGGACTTTAAACTGGCGTTCAGACAGTACTCGCCCAATGGCCGTGCTCATCCACCAAAACGAGGGCGCCCTTCGTGAGAAGGTCTTTGAGTGCGTAATTGCCTGAGGCTGGGTCGACCTCGGTCAGGGGATCTGACGGCATCCGAGCGCGAGGCGCCCATCTCACACGCGATCCCACAGCCGCGAGCGAGTCACGGATCACAGCTAACTCGACCGCATCCCGGCGGTCGGCTCTCGACCCTGCTGAGTTCCGAGAGAGCACATCAAACACCGATTTCGCATCCACCACAGACAGCCCCGAGGCCGTCTCGCCTAGCTGGCACTCCCGGGCCAGCATCATCGAGAAAGGACCTTGTTTTTCGAACCAGTCCGGCCGTGGCACATCTCCCCAGACGGCGTCTCTCCACAGCACCTGCATCCACTGAGCCCCCCCCCGTGGCGCCTGAGAGCGCAAGTGTTTCCGCCGCGACAGTACTGGAGACAGCCCTCTTGATGCGCAGTGATCTCCACGCCAGCAAGCTAACTCGCGCCCTGCGTTTGTCACGGATCGCCGAGTCGGCACCCATGATCAGCCAAGCCCCCCGCGCGCCCCCTCGTCGAGCACCCCCGGGACCTCCGGCGTCGCTCGCCGCGACAAGAGTCACTGACGATGGATCCAACGCCCAAATCGTCAGACGCTGCTCTGGGGGCGCCTTCAAATGCTTGCAGACCTTTATCAGGGCAAGCGCGTCGGCAACACTCGGCGTCGGCAAGGCTGCCGCAAGCAGAGAGGCCGAGCCGGCAACGCCCAGGCGCGACTCCCTCGCGAGCCACTGGACCTGAGCTGCTACATCACGATACGAGCTGATCTCGTCTCGAGACAGCGGCGGCTCTGGCTGCGATCGTCGATCCTTAGTCAAGTACATTGTCGAGAGCTGTTCCCTGATATACTTCTCCTGATCTACAACTATTCCGTTCGACGTCTGAAGCAAATGGCGGCCGGCGTAGTCGGCCTCCACAGTCTCCCATTTCCCGAAATGAAACCGCTCGGTCAACGAGAACCGCAAGAAAGCCCATCACTTTTCTTCCCCTGAGACGATTAGGTCGTCGACCTCGATAAGGACAAGGGCCTCCAGCCCGCCTAGCTTGCCTCTCAAGCCACAAGCATGGCTCTAGCAAGGATTTCACAAATCCGAGGGACATGAGATAATCTGCGAGCATGCGATGCCATCACAGGGGAGCGTCGTTGAGACCGTACACCAGCGCGACCAGTTCTATTAGGGAACCAGGGGGCAAGGTCAAGCCGGCACAAGGTTCCACATAGATTGCACCACCTGGCCTCTCGAGACGGTTACTCCGGCAAAACGCATTCTTGGCATCGGCCACGTCGAGCACCCACCCCATGGGCGCGATCACCTGCAAAGTGAAGAGGATGCTTTCCGTTTGGGGGGTAGGAGCTTATACGGAGAGGCTTTCCCCGTCTGGATCTTGGTGACCATGGACGCACCATCTTGATTTAGCCTTAGCCTGAGCCCCCACCCCTTCCATCGGCTTGAAACGGCGCACCATGCGCGATGACAGCACACGATCGGGATGACGTCTGCGGGCCATCCTCGCATCATCAGGCGAGAGCACTCGCACTGCGCCGGAAGACAAATAGCCTCCCACTCTGCTAGATCAGAAGCAACGAACTGGGCCCTCTCCTCCGGCGTGAAATCCTTCATGACCACCTCAGCTCCCCTGGGATTGGAGGGCTTGCCTGAGACCTTGAGCCCTTGACCGTAGCCGCCCCGGTAAAACCTAAAATTGGGTCCTGGACTGGGGCCATGTAGTTAGGCGCCCCGCGTATGTCCGACCACTCCAGCAGCTCCAAAAACAGCTGCTCGCCCTGGAAATCGTCAGCCTCGCTAGCCAAACCCTCGAACCCCACTTCCGCCTCGGCGGCGGACTCGGAATCCCTGACGACGTATCCACGTAAGTCCTGAGGCTGAAAGGGGGGCGGCGGCGCGCCCAAGGCTTGTCGCAGGTTCCCTGGGAGCTCACTCGATGGAGCAGAGGGCGAAGGACCCCCGCAAGACGAGGAAACTCCGTTCCCGGGTCGAGCGACCAGCGAAGCCCGAGGGGCCGAAACAGAACGCACTCGAGGGACCCGCCCGTACACGTGGCAAGGACGATGCTCTACAACTGGCAAGACAGAGGCCCCGGACCCCGCAACTTCCCCTTCACGAACCATGTCAGCCACCCGGGGCTCTCTGACCGACAGCATCCTCGATGGGGGTGAGCCTCGGTCGGACCGCCAGCTCGGGCTCGGGCTCAGAAGCACGGGCCACGCCTCGTGACAGCTCAGAGATGGCAGAGCCTCCGCTCGTGGCCCTCGCCATCGAAGGTTCAGAGGCTTCCGGCGCCTGAGTCTCATCCCGACTCTGGGGCTCAATCGGAACCACAGGAGGCGTGGCGAAAGGGGGCGGCATTGACACGCTAGGATTCAAAACTCTGGTGGAGGGATCGGGATCTGGACGCTCTCTGGACTCTGGGCCGTCCCAGGCCTCGGGCGGAGGAGGCCCCTCAGAGGCCACGTCGACCGCCCCGGACCGCTCCCCCGGGGCCCAAATCTGTTCCCGCAGGGCCGCGAATCGAGCAGAGTCCAGCAATTCCGCTCCAATAGAACCTCGACGGGTGGCCGACCGGATCTGCTCCTCGGAACACTTGTACAACTTGGTGCGCATCGCTACCCTAACCGTTCCCCCGTTGTGGTACACTATCACCCCCGGTCCGGTCCATCTGTCTCGCTGCAACGAGTGGGTCCTCGCGGCGGCCGTCACTCTCCTCCAAACGTACACCCACTCCCCTGGCTTAACATGGCGCTGAGCATGCATGCGAGCTCCGCTCGCTTCTGAAAGATTGGATCGAGCGCCCAGAGAGGCCATGGCCTTCCGGGCCTCTCGCCGCAAGAGGTGTCGCCGAGCAAACTCGGCTGCTGCCGAATCTCCCTGGGAAGCTCCACCGAGCACGTCCTCACATCCTACAAGATCCACCTCTTCGTCAGACAGGAGCGATCTGGGCACCCTCGGAGCTCTCCCGAGGACCAGCTGCACCGGACTGAACCCCCCCTGTGATAAGTGCTGTTCTTAGCCGCTACCGCCTCGCACAACTGAATGTCAACCTCATCCCGGGAAACCGGGTTCGCGGCCAGCGAGGCCTTGGAAAGCACATCCTTGAGGATACCCCCGTGTCTTTCACAGCGCCCATTGTAGTGGGGTGAGCTAGCGGCCGCGATTCTCGCTCAAACTCGCCGACCCCGTCTGAGATGAGCATCTCTGGCAGCCCAAACGGCCTCGCCCAGAGCTGGGGGAAGCCCTTGCACGTCGCCTTAGCCGAATCATTAGGCAGTAAACAGGCCCGTTGATACTTAGCGCCGTGACATATGACATTCAAGACTGGTGCGCTAGCCCCCATCCACCTCCAGGTAAAAGATCCACCGCAACCAGTTTATTTTAACTCGTAAGCACGAGGAAGGCGAGCGTGACGCCGCCAATGCGGCCGGGCATGCGACTCGCAGGCCCCGCACCGAAAATGATTATTGGTCCAATCCAAAACGTCAGACCTCGCTCTCGCGACGCGAAGCGTCCTTAAGAACTCGGAGAGGGCTGGATGACCGAGATGCTCATGTAACTTGTGGATTTCCTGCCTGAGCTCGGGATCCAGGGACCCTTCCGAAAGGGGGGCCCGGGGCCGGAGCCAGGACCGCGGGCCATCTCGGGCCCTTCCAGGTCTCAGGAACGTCCTCGTCCGAGTCCTCGTCGTGACTGACCTTGGCCTCTGGGCAAGACCGGGATGGCAGGAAATCCAAATCTCGATCTTCCAGGGGAACAGTAGCTTCGTTCTCAGACGTAACCTCAGCAAGGAGAGAGGGACCAGTCAGATGATGATGAGCCCAGGCTGCGTCTTCGACGCCATTCGCAATCTGGTTCACGAGCTCATCCGGGCAGCGCTCCGACCGTCGAGTCCTGCGCCCTCCCCCCAGGTGAGCATGCGCGTGCTTCCCCGAACATCGGCGCACACACCTGGACAAGAACACGCTTCCGCGGCTCATGAGACGAGTCCGCTTCCTGGACAAAGTGCCCCCCCTGACAACGGAGAGCCCACAAACTCACGCTGATCAATTGTCTCAACCCGAACTCCTTCCTGAAACATCAAGTCTTGCACCTGACCCAAGTCCATGGAGCTGGCCCGCTCAGGATGTTCGAACGAGATATATATCCCGGCTCGCATCTTATCTGTAGCTACCCGGATACACAGGTCAACACACTCGACACCACGCTTCTCCACGGCTTCTCGGGCCCCGGGGCCCATGGCGCACCAAGACGCCGCGCGGGCCTGGCTGAAGGCTTTGCACTCTGGGGGCATGAGAACCCAACGGTTTGTCTCGCTTGATCGTGGCCCAAAGGACCTGCTGCCCCTCCGTCGTTCTAAGGCCCACACCCGTGAGCAGGTCGGAGGCGCGCGACACTTGATACCCCCTTCGCTCGAGTTCCTTAGACACCCGGGGCGGGGAAGAGAACATCTCTAGCACTGAGGTTCCAGCCCTCGCTTCCTCGGCCTCTCGGGCCCGGTTCCTCCTCAGCTTCCTGCTAGATCTAAGCCCCTGGCCCTCTTGGAGCCGAGCTGTCGCCCCCCTCACCTTCTTCGGAATGGTCGCGTTCTCGACGCACCCAGGGCCCGGACCATCTAAGGCAGCAGCCGGGAAGCGGTCTACGATCACGCAGTTGAACCTGGAGCTCAAGCTTCCTGCCTGCGAGGAGCGAGAGGATGGGGAGGGGGAGGGAACGGCCATAGGGGCCGGACACTTTCCTGCGTCATCGGGCGCCCGAGAGGCCGCGGACTCGTAGCCTTGCTCGTTGACGCCTCCGGCGGAGGAGCCTTGTACGGGATGTACCCCTCGTCCACCGGCACGTAGAGATTCTCGGGGGCGCTCTTCAAGTTCTCGGCGGCTGCGATCCTGCATGACGGGGCCTTCGGGGGGGGAGACGACGCCGGAGGGGCAGGCGCCCACGGGCCCCCTGGTCCGCACTGGCGAAGGTCCGCCTCGCACTGCGCCAATGCTGTCGACCAGCGCCTTGGACTGGGACTTGATCGACTTCGACTTGGCCTTGACGAGCTTCCTCACCTGGGCCTCCGCCTTCTCCTCCGGGGTGCGGTCGCGGAGGCTCAGCCGACTGTCGCACATCCGGCAGGAGGTGAACGCCGACGTCGAGTTGTTGATTGACCACTGAGCCCAGGTCGGACGCGGGCAGACCCCCGCTGAGACCTTGAACTCCCCGGCACCCTGGTAGATCAGAGGGATGTGGTTGGCGATCGCCAGCACGTTGACAGACGTCTGGCGCACCCCCACGACGCGCAAGGACATGCTCCTCCAGCGGTGCGCTCCCGGGCTGAAGTAGCGTCGTTCAGCTGCTGAACTTCGAAGGGCGCGAGGGCCTCCAGCTCGAGCATCTGCCCCAAGTTCTCGTCGATCAGCTTCTCCCAGCCGCCCTCCGCCATCGGTGACGGCATCGTCTCGCGCACCGTCGGGAGCTCGCCCCGGCTGCTCGAGCGGCGAGCCGGGCTCGCCCAGGCGGATCGCGCGCCCCCCTGCTTCTGGGGAGTGCGGCGCACGGACGGCGTGGACTTGCTCAGCATCGCCCGTCAGTTCTCGATCTGCGCGGCCCCGGGCTCGCTCGGAGGAAGAAGAGGGAGCTCGGGCCGGAGAAGCCACGGACCCGGGGGCGCCCCACCCGCTGTCACCCGACGACCCACTTGTGGTATCCGGAGAGGCCTCTGGGGCCGGCCCCAAGACGACCCTAGAGGAGGAGGGAGAGGCGAGAAAAGCTGCCTGACCTGGCCTGACACACGCACTCGCGAGCTTCCCCTCACCGCCCTCCCCCTGTGGTCCTCAAGGCGGTAGCTCCTGCACTCCACTGGCAGGCGCACCAGCACGTCGTCGTCGTTCTCGAAGTCGTTCGGCTCGCACCAGATGAGGGAGATCGACCGGTGGCCCGAGGGAAAG